GAGGTTTTTAGCACAAGGACGGCGCGAGCGGTCACACATGTGCTTAAACTTTAAAAACGTATTTTTGAAATTTTATTTAAAAGAAGAAGAGGTTTTTTTAGCACAAGAACGCCGCGGCGGTTCACCCGTGTTCTTAAACCTTTAAACGTATTTTTGAATTTTATTTAAGAAAAGAAGAAGAGTTTTTACACAAGGACGACGCGAGCGGTCACAACGTGTGCTTAAACCTTAAACTTTTCTTGTAATTTATTATTTAAAAATTGTATATTACATATATATTTAAGGCTAAACTAGATGTTTAAAATAAATAGACAAAATAGAGAAATTAACTAAATCAATATAATAAAAAATACAATAACTAACAAAAGAATGACATGGCGGAACGGACGTTACAGGACAGATTCATAATAACGGCGTTCGAACGTCGTTGGTGAATATATGGATATTTAGAAATGTAACTGAATGACGAGGCGTCGTCGAATAAAGCGAAATGTTTCCCGTCTGGGATAATAAGGACGAACGTTGGTAACTAAGGCTGAATGACGAACCTGCTCGTTGATAGAGGATGAACGAACGTTGTGACTTTAGGCGGAATAACGAGCGTTCCTTTTTGGTGCTACACTACCGTAGTTAGTTACAGAAGGTTAGATGACGACTTCAAAAAAGGATGATGTGACAACGACGCTGAGAAGAGGAGCTTAGTCACGGTGCTCGCGGGATGAGCGTTCGTTGGGTTGATGAGGTGAGTGGAGGCCAACTGACGAGCGCAACCCCCTCGTTTGGGACGAGCGTTCGTTAGGAAAATGAGGTTGATGGCGCATACTCGTTATGGACGAGCGTTCGTTGGGATGATGAGGCGGGATGACGAACGACGAGCGCTCGTTTGGACGAGCGTTCGTTGGGAAGATGAGGCTGGATGATGAACGACGAACGCTCGTTTGGACAGCGTTCGTTGGGAAGATGAGCTGTATGATGAACGCCTCGTTATTAACAAGCGTTCGTTGGGAGATGAAGGCTGGATGATCACGCTCGTATTACGAGGTCGTGTGGAAGATGAGGCTGGATGTGACAACGCTCGTTATTAACGAGCGTTCGTTGGGAAGATGATGCTGGATGATGACGCTCGTTATTAACGAGCGTTCGTTTGGGAGGATATGGGCTGGATGGCGAACGCTCGTTATGGACGAGCGTTCGTTGGGAAATGAGGTTGATGACGAACGTCTCGGTATGGCCGAGCAGTTCGTTGGGAAAAGGAGCGTTGGATGACAAACGCTCGTTATGGACGCGCGTTCGTTGGGATGATTAGGCTGGATGACGAACGCTCAAAAAAAACAAAAGGTTCCTGGACGTACGCTTAATTTTGGCCTGGCCTAAAACTGATGGTTTCTAACCTAGAATTTTTCTCGGGGTTTAGAGGTTCACTCTCATATCACACTCTCCCAGCTCACGTCTTCTCTGACCCAGGGTCCCAGCTCTGCAAAACCCCCAAACAACACCAGAACCCCTAAAACACCAACCGCCTCTGCATCTAGCCGCCACCGTCGCCCCTCAACAAACGGCGCCTTGGCCTCGCCGGCGACCCTACCCTCGCGCCACCCAGACCACCGTCAGCCAAGACAACACCGTCTCCACTCTTCTCTCTTCGAAAACCAGCAACTCTCAAGGAGGTTTTTTCTCCACCTTCATCTCCGATCCACTCGTGTCATCATCACCCATTAACATCCACTTTTACTATTACTACCCTGACACACACACAACACTGCACCATAAGGCTCTCCCCTTGGCCTATCCTCGTCCACCCTCCTCGCCACATCACATCCTGAACAACCTTAGCAACGCGTTGCCACCACCACACAGCAGACTACTACTTCCAAACCGCCAACCACGAAACAATCAACCACTCCCTTCCTCTCAAGCCTGTCCAACGTAGGGGTTCCGTGCCATGGCCTCCATCGTCCCATTCATCCTCACTGGAAGAGCGACTCTAGTGGAGAAGACTTCGAATTTCAAGGGGGCCATTTGAGTTTGGGACGTAAGGGTCTCACAAAAATGGTGCAATGAATAAAGTGGATATTACTGGGTTAGTGTTTTTTGGCAGTGATTTTTACTGGGTTTCCAACGAGAGCATGATGTATCGATGATGATAACAGGCGGTCATGGAGAAGAATGAGAATAAAGGATAAGTTACATACCTGAGAATTCCTCTGATATTCGTCCCTTTGGATAACCTCTGTCTCCTCCCGATGATCTATTCCCGTCACCCTCTCCAACTTTTTTCTCTATCTTTCCTGCTCCTCCTTCCTTCCCAAGATCTGGTGGCTCCATCCCCCTAACCAACCTGGTCCCCTTTTCTTTTTCAAAAAAAACTCCAAAAAAATCTTAGAAAATCTTCCCTCTAACAAACCGGTCCCCCCTCCTCCAACACGTCTCTCACATACCCCTTTCCCACGTTTTCTCTCTTTTTTCTATTTTTTATTTATTATTTTTTCAATTTTATTTTATTTATTTTTAATTTTAATTTTATTTTTCAATTTTTTTAATTATTTTGAATAAGTGATCCTATTAAAACAAATTGAAGATGAGAAAAATAGAAATCGAAAACAATAAAAATGGAATAAAACAATAAAATAAAGAAAAAATAATAAAAACACATTTTTTACAACCCGGACAAAATTGAGTGTTGACAATCTGTAATAAAGTATTTCATATAAAAATCAGGTTTCTTCTTTCATGCATATAAAAGTTCAAAACTAGGACCTTGATCTTAACCTAAATTTCGTTTTGACCAACATGCTAATCATATAACCACTATTTTAGCCTAAAGAAAACTACGATATAGTTATTTATGATCAATAATTATGAAGAAAAATATTCTTAAAGGTTAAAATGACAACTAATCTCATAACAAACTGGTTTTTAGACACACTTGTTATTTTGTCTTTTAGCCAAGTGGTTAGGTACATACATGTTTCCAACCTAATGCAAAACTCGAAACTTTCTATGTCGGAATAAAGTCACGGAGATATATGTTTGATTATTCCCTTTTTGGCATTATTACCAAAGAAAAACAAAAAATGCATATGAAACATGATGCAAAACAGGGAATTTCCTTGTCAGAACACGATGATCAAATTCAAGGTATGCCATTGGTGCCAATAATACCATTACCATTACCATTTTATTGAATTATTACAAGCAATGGGCCAATCTAAGTTTGTTTTCTTGTGATTACTTTCAACATTCTAATGAGTACATTCATCTCGTGAACTTCCACCAACTGCACTCACATGACACCACTGGGTCAACGTGACACTACAGTGGCTAAAGAACTGCAAATAATTGTTCCAACAACCTCTATAAATTAACTTTGGGGCAACATGGTACACCATACTAAACAAAACTCAGCGCCTAGGAGAGAAGAGAGCATGATGGCAAAAGGTAGTGGAAAAACTTTGGTGCAGTGGCTGGTAGCAGGATTGTTCATAGCCTTATTGGGAGGTGCACAAGCTGTTGTGCTGTGTAACATAGACTCAGATAAACTAAACTTGTGTCGTGCTGCAGTTACTGGTCGAAACCCTCCACCACCAGATGAAAAATGTTGTGGAGTTATTCGCCAAGCCAATTTACCTTGCCTTTGCAGTTACAAGTCTATCCTACCAGCACTTGGAATAAACTCCAAAAATGCTTTGGCCTTGCCGGGTAAATGTGGTTTGAAGAAACCTCCTAATTGCTGAGGTAAAACATCTTCAGCCAGAATATGCCTTTGAACATTTAAACATTTCTTCTGTATTTTCTTTTGGTTATACTTGACAAGATAATTTTTCATTTTGAAGGTAATTATCACTACGAGCACCTTAGTCTTCAATTTCTTTCACTCCAACTGAATATAAATTTGAAGACAGCATTTGATACCCCTTGAATAACGGTGCAGTTTATTTTAATCAGTGTGTGTTATGTCCAAAAGTCTGTAAGCAGATGTATGGAGTATAAGTGTTTGATAGATTATTACTCTTGTAATGTTTTTAATGAAATATCTGGTTCTGTGGTTCTCAACTCTGGAAAATCAATAAATGACAGAGCCAGTATGTATATTCATGAGACTCAATGCATAAACTTGAAAGAAACCCTTCAACCAGACACATAGTAATAATTGGAATAGATTCTCAGGTTCGGCCTTCGCAAAATTTCTCAATTAGTAACCTTCGCCTTCACGACATTAATATCGTTAGTGTTTGTTATTTTTATGTTACTATGTAGTTTGTTTGCATAAATTTTATAATTTATAGCCTTCTCCTTCACAATATTAATTTAGTTGATACACTGGGAGAAGCTCAATTTAGATGTAGAGATAGACCCCTACACCCTAGTTCCACTCAAGAAAGACAAAAATTATAAGAGCTATAGAGAAAAATAAAGATAAAGATAAAGATAAAGCAAACAATCATTAAAGAAGTCAGATTTCAAACCTAAAATCAATACATGAAGACTATTATTAAGAGTGTATGCTTAAATATTTATAGTTTGAATATACTTTTCAGAATCTTTTATTTTAAAAATTTAAGAAATTGTTTAGATAATGATAGATCTGCCTTGGATTGCTACTTCTAGATCCTCTTTCGAGCATGTACTAAATTCACGAAACTAAAACAATCAACGCAAAAAGAATGAACCATTTAAAAAGTAAATCAAACTACAATTGAATATAAATTATAGTGTGCTTGAATACATTCTATCTCATATCATGAAGGTCATCTCAATCATCTCGTGCACTATAAATTATATAATGGACACTAGTACTAGATAGATAATCATGGAGAGACTAACATTTGACATAATTTAAGATTTAATTACATTAATTAAAGAATTAAGAACCAGCGTGAGTTTATTGCAAATGGTACATACGTTAAATTAGGACATGAGCAACTTGTTGGGTACTCCCACATCGAATAAAATAAGAGATGAACATAAGTTTATATACACATAACATATCTCCATTGATAAGAGGCTTTTTAGAGTGGTACCAAAAGCAAATCTGTGAGGACTTGCCATAAAGCGGACAATATCTATGTGTGTCTCTTGTTTTATTAACCAAGGAACTTTTTCCTTGAGAAAAAGTTGTCATTCAATTTACATTTTTATTTTATTTTTGTTTGAATGAGAATCCATTGTTTGAACGAAAATAAACTAAAGACAAGATTTTGCATAAATCCTTTTCAGCAAGAAACAAACTCCATTATATACATGTTTTAAACTTCATAACATCAACAACTAATGTATTTTAGCTCAAAAAACCATCTCAAACTCAAATACTTCGTACTAACCAAACTGCCAGATTAATTTCTTTAAACCAAAATCTTAACTCAAAAATCATCAATCTCACTAGCATGTGTATCTCCATGTCTAAATGATATACTTCCAAAAATTGAATATTTATCACAATATTTATCCCTACGCTAAAATTAATTAAAAATAAAATAATATATTAGTAGTTGATTATTAGAAAGTAAAACACACAACAAAATGAAAGCTGCATAATTGTTTTTTAAATGCAAAGTGGTTATTTACTTTTGGACGTTGTAAACAAACGTTTTAAGTGCTATTTAAATTGTTCTTCCAGAAAGAGACACACTGGAGTGTTTTGTGCAGGTAGTGTTGGGAAATACATGGGAAGTTTCATCTCTTTTATTGGCTTGCTCTTATCTAAGGTTTTGTTTACTTGAATGAATTTGGGAGAGAATAATTGAATGAATTTGAGAGAATTTGAAGGAAATTTTGTTGTTGTTTATTTGAGTGGATTTGGAGATAAGTGAAAGTGGATTTGGAAGTAAAGTTTGTAAGAATTAGTGTACGATTTGATTGATGTGACAGACTAAAAATTTACTTTCAAAATCGTTCTCACTTACCTCCAAATCCACTCAAATAAATAACAAAAAATTTACCTTCAAATCCTCTCAAATTCATTCAATCACTCTCCTCCAAATCCATTCAAGTAAACAAACTGTAAAAGCTCAGGTGTAAAAGTTATTTTGGACATTGAGTTGGTTGTCACAAAAATATTGGTCTTTCTTTCCCTTGAACTGATTCTACTTCAGTGGTTGTGCGTTAAAAAAATGTTCTGTGCCTTGGTCCATAAGCGAGAGAATAAATTATTATTTAGTCATGTGTAGTATTTTTTTTACACATAACAAATGTGTTGATACTTTAGCAAATTTAGGAATAAATTCTAGGATTAACTTTTTAGTTCTCTGCCCACTTGTATTAGGGAATTTTTTATTATTATTTTAAGTCAGCATGATTCTTGAAATATAGATTTTTGCTTAATTAGGTGGATAAGTTTTAGTTCAATTTCTTCATGTTCTATTGTTCTTTGTTGATTTTCTTTTAGATTTTTGTTGTGGTATAAAGTTGGTTTTGAAACAAATAACAAAGAAAAAATAATAATTTTTCTTCAAAATTAAACTATTTTATATTACAATATTCAATTCCTTAACTATTTTATATTACAAAATTCAATTCCTTAAAGTATTACTTATTTTTTTTTAGTTAAGTATGTGTTTAGTGTCTTTATTTTTATGAGTTAAATATATGTTTAGTTTCTGTAATTTTATGTCAAAATGGAATTCATTCTTCTCTAAAAGTTTATTTAAAAAGCATGTTATACTTTTAAAATGTGTGGAATGCATCTTTATTGTGGACTATGTTAAGTTTTTTTTATGACCTGTGTAATAGAAAAGTTGACATAGACATTTTTAATTTGACATGTGTTATTTACATTTTAAAATAAAAAGTGACGTGTAATATGAATAATTTTCTTCTATAAGAGTTGTTTTTCTCATTGAGAGTGTTTGAAGAGGGTTGTGGTGTTATGCGTTTTTGTTCGTTTAGTGTTCATGTTGCACAAGTAACCTGTGTGAAGTGCGATTTGTGAGTTTAAGTTGGGTTAGTTGTGGTGATGTTGCAAGTGCAAGGGTGAATTCAGCATAATCGTCAAATTGCTAAGGTATTCACTTGCCATAAAAATGTATGTTTTTATGGTTGTTCAAATTTTTTAAGGAAGAATCGGGGAAATCATGTTATTCAAGCTAATGTAAATTGCTTTCTATGACTACAACAAAAATTGATATTACCGATGTTCAAAATTCATTTTAATGCATAAAATTCGTCGTTATATTAAAATTATTGATGACTTTTATCAGGTCAAAAATTCGTTGGTAAAAGCGTTGAAGGTAAATTTTATTGACGGATTTTTCCATCAGTAATTATCGACGAAAAAATTGATCGATAAATTCATCAGTAAATAACGCGATCTGATTCATCTTCTTGTCCCGTTCTCCTTCTTCCCCCTCTTATCCACGGATTCTTGTTTTTTTTCTCTCCAACTAAAAACCCCAGCATTTTGGGTCCTACTCGGGCAACGAGAATTCTTCCTCTTCTTAGTTGAAGGTTCAATACAGCAGAGAACCCTCCTCCTCTACCTGTCTCCTCTCTTTTCTGCTATCTATGCGATGAGTGGAGGTGCCACTCCTCCTTCCCTCTTTAGGTGAATTCCCAATTTCTCACCTTTTTAGTATATTTTTTAAGGTTTTAAGTAGTCAAATTTTGAGTTTTAGGTACTTCATCCAATTTGAGTTGTTTCTTAGCTACACTTGACTACTTTAAATTTGTTAGGATATCAATATTACATATTTTTAGCCTACTTTAGTAGAATTTCATATTTCTTACCTTTTTAATACAATTTTTAAGGTTTTAAGTAGTCAAATTTTGAGTTGTAGGTACTCAATCCAAATTGAGTTGTTTTTTAGCTACACTTAACAATTTTAAACTTGTTAGGATATGAATATTACATATTGTTAGGCTACTTTAAGTGAATTTCCAACTTCTTACCTTTTTAGTACTCTTTTTAAGGTTATAAGTAGTCAAATTTTCAATTTTAGGTACTTGTTCCAATTTGAGTTATTTCTCGGTTTCATTTAACTACTTTAAAATTTTTAGGATATGAATATTACATATTGTTAGGCTACTTTAGGTGAATTCCCAATTCCTCACCTTTTTAGTACACTTTTTAAGGTCTTAAGTAGTTAAATTTTGAGTTTTAGGTACTTGATCAAATTTAAGTTGTTTCTTAGCTTTATTTCGCTAGTTTAAACTTGTTACGATATGAATATTACATATTGTTAGGCTACTTTAGGTGAATTTCTAATTTCTCACCATTTTAGTACACTTTTTAAGGTTTTAAATTGTCCAATTTTTAGTTTTAGGTACTTCATCCAATTTGAGTTGTTTTTTAGCTACACTTGACTGTTTTAAACTTGTTAGGATATCAATATTACACATTCTTAGCCAACTTTAATAGAATTTCAAAAATCTCACCTTTATAATATGCTTTTTAAGGTTTTAAGTAGTCAAATTTTAAGTTTTGCTACTTGTTCCAATTTGAGTTGTTTCTTAACTTCATTTCATTAGTTTAAACTTGTTAGGATATGAATATTACATATTGTTCGGCTACTCTAGGTTAATTCCCAATTCCTCACCTTTTTAGTACACTTTTTAAGGTTTTAAGTAGTTAAATTTTGAGTTTTAGGTACTTGATCAAATTTGAGTTGTTTCTTAGCTTCATTTCGCTAGTTTAAACTTGTTAGGATATGAATTATTACATATTGTTAGGCTACTTTAGGTGAATTTCTAATTTCTCACCTTTTTAGTACACTTTTTAAGGTTTTAAGTAGTTAAATTT